GCGGATGATGCCCACCAGCAGCCCCTGCTTCTGTGAGCTGTACTTGAGGGAGATGAGGATCCGGCCACGCTCCTCCAGCGACTTGTCCTCTGTTTTATCTATCTGGGGGAGGGAATGCACCCAGTCCAGGGGCTGCGCCAGGACACAGCCACAGCTGGACACCCACCTCCCCGCTGCGAGGGATGCTCTCCCCATCCCTGATCACGTTTGGGGGGTCACAATACACCGCGCTCCCAGGTGTCGCAGGGAGAAGCTGCTGTATCTGTGGGTCCATGGAGGGGGATGCTGCCCTAAAACTCCCCACTCACCGGCAGCTGCTTCTCCAGGCAGATGTTGAAGTTTTTGGTCTGGTTGGGCTTCAGTTTCTTCAGCGGGATCCGCGTCTCCCCAATGAACTCGTTGTGGCGGAATTTGTCCTCGTCACAGACCGAGATCCTGCAACAAGCACGGGGTGAGAGGAGCCACAGTGAGAGGGGAGGTGATGGCACGAGGGAAAGGGCTGCTCTGTCACACTGCAGGTCCCCTCAGCAAGGGGACAACTTTGAGGACATTGTTCCCCAGGCCAGTGACCAGGCACGTCCTTCACAGGCAGCTGGAGAGCATCAATCTGCTGCTACAGCCCAGCCAGGGCAGCTCATGATGTTGAAATGTGACAGCCAGTATCTCAGTCTGCTTTACCTCCACAGCTGAGAGCCGAGGCTGCCGGGATGGAGGATGCGCCAGGTCTGGGGAAGCAGAGGGATGCAGGAGGTCGTGCTGCACCACATCTCCCAGCTCCATCACACAGCTCCTCACACACCCCAGCTGGGCCCCACAGCCACTGTGGCCATCTCTCCTGCTCAGACCCCCTCCAGGCCAGAGCTCCTGCACCCCTCAGGATGGCTGTCACCCCTCGAGGGACTGGGATCCCTCCAGGGAGATGCTTACAAACCTTGAACACCACAACCCTGTGGTGCCACAGTCGCTGTGTCTAACACACGCCCCAGCCCAGGAGCTGCTGGAAAAGCAACTGGGAGCCTCAAGCATCCTAATGGCCCTTCCATTAAAACATCAAAGTCATTGGTGACTAAAGCAAAACTATTCTGAGCTGCCACCAGCCCAGCTCATCCTGCCCAGCCAAGGAGGCTCTTTCTAAAGCTGCTCTCGGACTGCATGTCCAGGAGAAGTGTGTCTCCCCGCAGGGCCCCCTCCTTCCCCACCCAAGGAGCTTGGGCACTTTTCCGAGTGTGGCAGCTCTCAGGGTGTCCTCTGGCACTGGGGACCTGGCTGCCCAGTCTGGGATGTGGAGGGGGTCTCCCACCTCCTCTCCCACCGTGCAGGCCAAACTGGGAAGCATTTGCAGAGCCAGTCTGTGGAAGGCAGCACAGCAAAGCTCTCCCAGCCCTGCTGGGGTCCTGTGCGGGGCTGGGGGCTGGGCTGCACCCCGTGACGGCAGCTGGTGTCCGAGGGCAGTGACGGCGATGCTGAGCGAAGGTTGGTTTCCGCACCAAAGCTATAAATGCCTTTCCCTGAGCTGGCAGCTAATGAGTCATTTCTCTGCTGCTTCCCAGTCCTCTCCAGGCGTCAGGAGAGACGACAGAAGAGCAAAGTTAGTGCTTGTAGAGAATCTCTGCTCACAGCTCCTGAAATCCCAGAGAGGGTCCAGGAGGGTGGTGGCTGCCCTGTGAGGGACCAGCTGTCCCCCAGCAGCACTGCCTGGAGCTGGGGACAGGGAAAGCTGTCCCGTCCCCCTCCAAAGGGAGCATCCCACATCCTGCACTTCCACCCGAGCCACGCAGGGACGGGCTGGGCTCCCTGTCCACAAGGGAAAGGCGTTTCCCTTCCCTTCTCTTCTTTCTTCCCTTTTAATTTTTTTCCTACAGTGTCTTTTTGTCCTTCTGCTGCCTCATTTTTTTCTCCCTTTCACCCACTCCCGTGGGTGTCCGTTTCTCAGGGGCAGCACCTCTGCCTCCAGGGACCGTGCTCCACCTCGCCGGGTTTTGACAGATGGGACTTATTCAGGAAGGTGGAAAAGTAATTAAAGATAAATAGTGCCCTGAGATCCTGCCTCAGAGTAACTAAGTGCACACCAGCCTCTGGCCTCTGCAGCACCTGGGCGGTTTAGCTGTGACTGGTTTATCTGTGGATGGTTTGTCCATGGATGGTTTGACCACTCTCATGCTCACAAGTGAATAACAAGGTGGTGAGGAAGCCATGGGGATGGCTCAGTGACACAGCACAAGGATCATCAGGGATGGGGAGCGGCAGAGGAAGGGAGTTTGGAAAAAAATAATACAAATGGGAAGACAGGGAATGCTGCTCTCCAGAAAACCGTGGCTGGATGCAGCGTTACTATAGATACCCGCAAAAAAACCCTACCCCACCGCACCAGTAAAATCCTCAAAAAGAATCTCAAATGCAGGCACAATATTTCCTATTTCCCTCCCTCCTCTCACCTCCCTTTTAAAGAACAAAACCGAAAAAGGAGCAGCAGCAGCTCCAGACAAGAAGCGGCACTTGCCAGGCGCGCGCAGCCCCGCACCCATCTGGCCACGGCTGCGGCGGGCGCTGGGTTACGAGGCACCGCACCAGTAAAATCCTCAAAAAGAATCTCAAATGCAGGCACAATATTTCCTATTTCCCTCCCTCCTCTCACCTCCCTTTTAAAGAACAAAACCGAAAAAGGAGCAGCAGCAGCTCCAGACAAGAAGCGGCACTTGCCAGGCGCGCGCAGCCCCGCACCCATCTGGCCACGGCTGCGGCGGGCGCTGGGTTACGAGGCCGGGCTGCAGCGGAGCAGAGCAGAGCGGAGCGGGGCCGCACACGGGGCTGACAGCCCGGGGTCTATTTTTACACTCGACAATTGCAGAGCGGTGCCGGTTCCTGCACATGTGTGGGAGGTTGGGTTTGGTGTTGGTTTTACCTCTTAAGAACATGAGTAATGAGATCTTTCCCCGACCATGGCCAGATACACCCCAGAAGCTCAACAAGATACCAAATGCAATATCCTACTTGCTGTGAAGCCCAGAACCACCCAGGATGGGCAGAAGCCCAGGAAGGAAACGGCTGGAAAACTTTGGTGGTGGTGGTAGGAAGAGCATCTCCAGTGTGACACTGGGAGATCCTGGAGAGCCCCACCAAGCCCCGTGTCACTGCCCATGGGGACAGGGGAAGCCCCTTGCTCCCACCTTAGCAAGTGTCTCAGAACACCAGCCCCGGTGCGGCTCAGAGACCTTCAGCTCAGCCCCAGGCAGCTGCAAGCCCCTGTGTGCCCTCCCCAGGGATGGCTCCTGCCCCCCCTGCCCCTGCTCAGCCCTCCTTTAGCAGCAGCCAGGGCACAGGGACGCCATCCTCCTTGTCCCTGATGATGTCTCAGGTTCATTTAGGTGTTTGTGCAGAACTGGGTCCCTTGGGAGGCATCTATAAGACCGGGGAACTGCTGCTGTCTCTGAGCAGCACGATGGAGCTGGAGACACCACTGGGTCTCTCCCAGCCCCATTTTCCCTCTGGCTTCTCTGGCCTCCTCTCAGGTGGGACCCCAGCGTTTGTGCCCACCTGTGTGTGATGACCAGAGGTGGTTCAGATGTAGAGTTCCATGTCAGCTCTCCCAGTCCCTCAGACTCATCCCCTGAACCCCAGTCCCTCTGGCTGGCTGCAGTTCATCTTCACCAGGATGGGATCTTTAACTCAGGCAGGCTGGCAGTGAAGGCAACGAGCGTGAGGCAGAGGAGCAGGCAGCTCTGGCCCCAGCCCTCCCTTTGGAAACAGGTGTAATGAAATTACATCAGCTTGAATTTTATTATGAGAAATCGATGTGATGGAATTTTTGTGCCTTGGGTTAGAAAATGAGCTCCATGACAAACAACAAGAGACGCCTCTGGTAGCCACATTCACCTGCCATCCCTCTAACTCCAGCATCACCCCTCCCTCGTCTCTCTTTAGTGAACCCAATCCCTCGAGCTCAGCTTTTGATTTGACAGCTTCCACTGAGGGGTCCTGATCTTTAAGTTAAGGGCTGTGAAAACCACCTTGGAAGAAAACTAAGCAGCAAATGAACAATCACTGCTCATTAAACTTATTCTCCCTCCTACTCAGCCCGGGCTCCTGGGTTACAGTCCTGACTCACCGCACAGCTCAAGCAACGCCGCTGCGCTGACTCACGGCTCCTGCTCACACACACGTTCCTCCGGCCGCTTCCCGTTGTGGAAAGGGGAGAACAGGGGTCAGCAAGGACCCTTTTCTACAACACACATGCACAAAACATGCAGCGGAGCCTGAAGATGGACCTCCTGTATCCAAGATCCCTTATGGTCCCTATAGCAACTCGGAAGGCTCTAAAAGGAGGAGCAGATGCTCAGGTGATGCCTGTTTGGCTTAAGGACAGGCAAAGAGAGAAAACAGGAAAAGGTGGCGTCCTGGGACTGTCCAGCTCTCCTAAAACTGAGAGGAGGATTCAGTGCTGGGCTCCATCACAAAATGCTTCAAAGTCTGAGCACAGAAACCACAGTACAAGTTAGATGACATTAGGAGTGTGTCTCCAGTTCTGGAGCAAACCTCATTCAGTGCTTCTGGAGTAAAGCAATTTGGGACCCCAGATCTCTAAGTGTCTGCAGTGTGCCTATTAGACCTGATCAAATACTATTTTCTGAATAATATCTTTAATGAGTCATGATGTTTGTCAAACACATGATTAAACAAAGAATTCCTGGCATTTGCGGGCTCGCTGAGTATCATATGAATAATGCATCACTTTGCCAATATATCTGGATATGAATAATTGTATCCAATATCTGGCCAGCTCTGATATTTATTATGAATACAATCTATTTATTGCATATTACACATATTATTTAAATGTAGGCGATTGTATTCGGCCTGTTCCAATTTCCCCTGCAGCATTCCTCTGCCTCCCTCTGTCACGCACCCCAGCTTCCCATCCCCGGAGACCACGGCCGATGGTGGCACAGCCGCGCTCAGACCGCAGACGGGGAGCAACGATGCCTGCAGATGGGACTGGGAGTAGGGGCTGCAGGGTGGGATTTACCCCTGGTGCTCCCCAAGCCCAGCCATCCCAGCCCTCCCAGTCCAGCATTTTTGAGCGGCTCTGAATTTTCCTTCCGTCAGGATGGTGGGTGGTTTCATTGCTATTAAGCCTTGGGCTAGACTCAGGGATATTTAATTCAATGAATGGATGAGACCTTTCAAGATCCTCCCACCTACTGTGTTTCATGAAATCCGAAGTATCTGGTGTTTTTTGAGGGGGCTGATTCATTAACAAAACCCTGCTTGCCAGCACAATTAGCTGGTCTGCCTTCACCTCGCCTTCTCCCTTGGGGGTGGCTCTGCTTGGGGAGGTGAACCCCAGTAGCTCCCAGGGCTTGGGTCCATCAGAGCAAAGTCACTTGATCAGGGCTGAGGGGCAGCCTGTGGGGCACGGTGTGGGGCTGGGGGGCTCGGGCAAGAGGGGATCCGTTACTCCACTCTCCTGGAGGCAGAGGATGTCCCTGCGATGAGGCAAATGCCACTCATCCCCCCAGGAGGGCTGCAGGCTCTGGCCGAGTGCCCTGTGCCAACACCAGCCCACCAACCCATGCTGGACAGGTCCCACCAAGGGCCCAGGTGGGTAGGGAAGATTTTTTGGGTGCTTTTCCAGCTTTTCTGCTGTATCACAAGCTCTCTAGGCAGCAGGGAAGCGAAGGCTGGTGACAGCTTTGATCTCCACCGTTATTTTTACATTAAAGAGACTTCGCAATCGCGTTCCCTGCCCCTCCGCGAATCTCGGCACCGAGGAGGCACCCAGGGAACGATCACCTCCCAGACCGAGGGGAACATCACTCATGCTCTTTCAACTGCCAACAGCTGCCTTGCAGGAGCCACGCTGGATTAGCACAAGGAAAGCCAGCGTCCCCGCAGCTTTGAAGTCGGCTTTTCCTGGCAGAGAAGGAGATACTTTGCCAAGATGACAGGCAGGTGAAGTGAAGCACCAGAGGCAGGATAATACACGGCATGAGAGATGTTTCCTGTGGGAAGCAGCACTGGGAGGGTGAAGGGCCATTGCCACTGGTGCTATGGAGAGGATCATAGAGGAGAAACAGCTCAACCCACACCAAAATAAAAAATCCTTATGTGAGCCCCAGCAGCCAGGGACCCCAACCCATCCATCCCTCCTCATATCAACCATTTCTGGGGTCCACACAAGAGAAGAGGCAGAAATCCCCCAGGAAGACCTACCAGAGCCAGAGGAGGAGATGGCTCACATGACATGAGACAGCCCTGTGGCAGAGGTGCCAGCTGGGAAACCTTCTCCACCCAAAAGTTTGTTTCTTTAATTCTTCTCTGGAGTCATTTCCAGGTAAAACCAAAGCCACAAGCCCCAGCCCTACAGCAAGCTCCACTTCACAAACTTCTCTACTTTTCTGCTTGCACAACATTCCCAGGGAGATGGAGGAGCCACCTGAGCCTCTCCAAAAAAACCACCCAGCCCAGAGTTTGACAGCTTTTAGGTCATCTTTGGCACGCTGATTGCCATGGTGACACTAAGGATGTGATTCCCCTCTCTGCCCCACGCAGGTAAAGGCTGGTCCTGCCTGCTGGCACACAGTGACGGGTGTGGCTGAGGTGCCCAAACCTTGAGCCTCGTTAGTGCCAGGGTGGTGGGGATGAGGGCTTCCACGCCACCACGCTGCTAGTAGGGACTGTGCTGTGCTAAATCCCCCAGGACAGAGCCTGCTGCATCTGGATGTGGTGCCAGAGCCCAGCACTATGCTTGGAGGTGAGGTGGGGATTCGCATGGTGCTTCCAGACGCTGGTCACCCTCATGAGTATGTCATCGTGGGGCTTGCCACCTCCATGGGGACAGGCTCCAGCAAACCCCATCGGCTAGCTGCAAATGCCGATGAGTCAAGAGTTGAAAATGGATATTCCTCTCCATGCAGAGAGGATTCTGATCCTTAAATATCAACTAATTCACCTCAGCTGCAAAGTTTGGTCTTCGTGCAAAGCACTGGAGCTTGGGAACCTCTCCACAAAGAGGCAGCTCCGATGGGCATGAAGGTGCAAGATGGAT